TGCACCGTCACTCCCTTCCCGTACCACGAGTGCTCCACGGATTCGAGCCACACCGCAGCAACGCCAAGGCCTTCAAGTCCCTGCAGCTGAGGAGGAAGGAAGGGGGAAGAGGAGACTTCAACCCCCCTAATAGGCTGACCTATGATGCACTTGGAAAGCAAGGCAAGACAGCCCTGGCCGGAGCGGCAATGATGGTCGGAGACGACGAGGAGAGTGACTATGAGGAGTGTGCCTTCGCGTTCTTCTCTCCGGTGGAGATGCCGGGAGAACCAGCAACTCTCAAGGAGGCTTTGGAGAGTAGTGATGCTGAGGAGTGGAAGAAGGCCATGGAGAGTGAGCTGAAGAGCATCGAGGAGAATGACACTTTTGAATTGGTGGAGCTACCGGAGGGGCGTACGGCGATAACGTCCAAGTGGCTCTTCAAAATCAAGTCGGATGCCGACGGCAAGATCGAGCGTTACAAGTCTAGGCTTGTAGCCAAGGGGTACCAGCAGAAGGAGAAGGTGGACTTCAAGGAGCTGTTTGCCCCTGTGGTGAAGCCGACGACGCTGCGGACCCTATTCGCGGGAGCCGCCATCAAAGGATGGGTGGTGAAGCAAATGGACATTGTGACGGCATTCCTTAACGGCATCCTTGAGGAGGAGATTTTTATGGCGCAGCCAGAGGGGTTTGATGATGGTAGTGGCAGAGTGTGGAAGCTGAAGAAGGCCCTCTATGGGCTGAAGCAGGCCCCTAGGCAATGGTACATGAAGCTGCGCGAAGTGTTGGAGGAGATCGGCTTCACTCCCTCAACGGCCGATCACTCCTTGTTCATGCTTGGCGAGGGGGAGCTGAGGAGCTTCATGGTGGTTTATGTGGATGACATTCTCATATTCTCACCCTCCTCTGACCTTGTGAAGGAGGTGATGCTGAAGCTGCATGACAAGTTCAAGTGCAAGTCCCTTGGTGACGTGAACTTCTACCTTGGGCTCCACATCGAACGAGACGTGGAGAAGCGGAGCATGCGAGTGCACCAACGGAAGTACCTGGAGGCGTTGGCTGCCAACTTCGGCCAGAGTGAAGGTCATGTGGCTACTCCCTTTCCCTCTGGGTTCAAGTGTGTGAAGGGGCCAGAGGAGGAGAGCGTTGGAGAAGAGGAGAGGCGCCGATTTCACTCGTTGGTGGGCAGCCTCATGTATGCGGCGGTAAACACCCGACCGGACGTCGCGTTTGCTACCGGGCAGCTGGCTAGGGTTGTGCAATGCCCTAATGAGGAGCAGGTAGCAGCTGGAATGAGGGTGGCCAAGTATCTTGGCCAAACACCGACCGTTGGGCTGCAATACTCGGCGGCGGCACAAAGGCGCCAAAAGGGCGCGGATGGTGTTGAACCCGGGCGTTTGTTCCTCACCGCCTACTCGGATGCTTCATATGCATCAGAACCAGAGGACATGACAAGTGTGGGAGGCTTCATATGCTGTGTTGGTGGAGGCCCAACTGCTTGGGAGAGCAAGAAGCAGGTTGACCAAGCTTTGAGCTCGGTGGAGTCCGAGTATATGGCACTCTTCCGTGCCGTACGGGAGATTGTGTGGCAGCGGCGTTTGTTGGCTGAATTGGGGGAGGAGCAGCAAGGACCTACCCCACTGTATTGTGACAGCCAGGGTGCCATTGCTCTTGCTAAGAACCCTGTGTTGCATGGACTCACGAAGCACATGAGGGTGAAGTGGCATTGGACGAGGAGCATGGTAACCGCGGGTGAAGTTGAGTTGCGCTACGTGAAGACCACGGGGCAGCCGGCTGACATGATGACCAAGAGGCTGGTGGAGCAGCAGCATTGGAAGTGTTGCAAGCTGGCTGGGATGGCTCTGAACTGACAGAGCAACATATCCTAAGGCCAACAATCCGAGGGGGAGTTTGTTGGTGCAACCCTATGGTTTGCACTCGGCTTGTTGTCCGTGTGCGTGCATGTGTGTGTGTGTGTATGGAATGGTATGAGGGCATGGGATAATATATATTTCATGCTTATAATTGTGTGTGAATGTTGAGTCATGATGTCGAGTGTGTGTGTTGAGTCAATAGCGAGTTATCGCTAGACGCGTGTTACGCGGTCGTTTGTGTCTCGCGCGCGGTTTCTATTTTGTCGTGCGCGGTTTCTATTTTGTCCTGTGTCGAACGTTCGGTGTGTCGCAGGTGTGTGCAGCAGACCCATCAAGAACTCAAGGACGAGTTTGTGATGAAGAGCCCGAGCCTTGGTGTCAAGCCTCAGGTGATTTCAAAGCTCGCCAAAAGGGTACACCTCAAGATATTGAAGATAGTTACATTACTTTGTGTAGTGTAACATTTCACTTGGTGTAGGCCCTAGTGAAGGGTAGTTTCGAGACCCTTCGTGGTTGGGGACAGTGTGGCACTGTTCCACATCACTGTACCTCGGCTCTTGGGGTTTGTAGGAGCTGGGAGTCATTCCCAACTCGTAACTCTTCAGATCTCTTCCTATTTTGTGTTCTAAGACTATAGTGGCTGTCATAGTGCCGTTCGTTCAAACCAACGCTGTGTCGTCAATACTTGGTCAAATCGTGCGATCTAAACTGCCTATTGTAGGCGACAATAAGACGCTCCAGATCCAAGTTGAATCAAGTCATTTGAAGCTGTGACCAGAACGCTATGAACGTTTGAAGCCGCTGTGCAGAAATCCGACTGTGCACTCTATCTTTCGGTTTAGGCACATTGGAGCCTACTGTGACTATAACATCCACTATGCCTACGTCACCTATGGCGACCCCCATGGTGACTAACACTGCTGCCGGCCTATGACTGAAATAGGTATGTGCAAAAATCGGCCAAACGGAAGTTATTGTCGCGGTGCCGTCCACGCTCACCGCACCATGCGGACTGCTATGAGGGGAGTGATTTCTGCGTTCCTAAGTCATTTGCTTGCATGTTCTCTGCTTGCACATTCATGGGGAGATTTTGCAAGAGTTTCACTAGCAAAAGTTGACAAGAATGATACACAATGCAAAGCAACAATGGACTACATCAGATGCTAGCAAGCAAGGCGGTCTACTGCCAGCGCAGCACGGTTGATCACGTTCCGGCACTATATGGTCGACCACGCTCTAGCAGTGCAAGTCGCGGACTGCCAGCAGTGCAAGTCACGGTCTGCAGCAAAGCGGCTGCACAGCTTTGCCCCTGCTGGATAGCAGTACACCCACTTCGTAGGTGCTCGCTGCTGGTTGGCATAATGTGCCTCATCACCCGCATAGCACAAATGCCAAGCTGCCCACGTCTGCACCTGATCCTCACATTGACCTCGGAATACCACACCAAGGTCGGCTTCGCATGATCCTCCCGGGCGACTTTCGCGCACCCCGCGGTGCCCACCTGGAAACCAGGTCGACGCCACCAGGCCGGCGCCTTCCCAGGTCAGCCCTTTATCTTCCTAAGTCTTGGGATACATTCTTCTATAGTGCCTGGCCGATTGCACGCAAAGCTGCGCCCTTTAAAAGGTGCGGCAGCGGTATTCGCGGTGACGGCGTGTATCGTGGCTCACTTGTTCATCCCACGAGCCTGCTATTCCTAATTGTTGTAGGACCCCATTCTTGATCGGCGGAGAAAGTCCGTCTTTTCTACCATGGGGAGAACAACAACGAGGGGTGTTACATTCAACGTAGAATGTGATGGAACTTCAACCAACAGTTAGTGAGTTCTTGCTTTTGGATCTTGGACGAATTGTCATCCCAAGGACCTCAACACCGAACCGGATCATCTTGGGTTTTTGCGAGAAGACATCACACTAGTTCCATCAATAGCTAGCACACCAAAGACTTCAAGAGCAACACCACAGTCAGTAAACACAAGCAAAGAATCAACAGAATCGATGCAACATCCATCCATACCTTCAAGTTTTTCGCACTCGATTGGTCCCCGTGTCATCGACATGTCACCTCCAAACATGTTACCATAATTATGTATATATACATATATGTATATCATCGGAGCCCGCGAATTTCAACGCCCGCTCCAACTCAAATCTTTATCGATGGTCTGCAAGACACGCATCATCAAAAATGGCATAAGTGTAGGTCATCTCAATGGCACAACAACCTATAACGTATTTCAAGCAAGAGTGTTAGACAAAGATGCCTTACTGTTGATCATCAAGTAGGAGCTTCATCATCCTCACCATATTTACATATTGTGCCCTGAAGCTGATCTTCCTCAACAGCCATTCCTATAGCATCACAACCCAAGTGCACCTACATGTAAGCCACTGGAGAAAGTTTACATCTTATCTTATTGCTTTTGTGATAGGAAGGGTGGCCGAATCTTAACTACATCATAACCTTCGATGCCGCCATGTGTTAGGTGTCAAAGGTCCACTGGTGATCCAAGATTGATCCTAGGGAAGGGTTACAGGCACGATGGCCTGGGGGGTTATGGGCGCACTGAACCGCTACTTAACAAGCCCTTTTATCCCAGTGGTCTAGTGACTGGGATTCTGACATGGTATCAGAGCGAAGGTCTCGGGTTCGAATCCCGGTGTATGCACTTTGGGCATCCCAGTGCGGAGGGGTGTCAGAGGTCCACTGGTAATCCCCGATTGATCCTAGGGAAGGGTTACAGGCACGTTGGCCTGGGGGGTTTTGGGCGCACTGACCCGCTACTTAACAAGCCCTTTTATCCAAGTGGTCTAGTGACTGGGATTCTGACATTAGGTCCGGCACTATCATCTCTTGTGACATCACCGGCACAGCCTTTGTTGAGTGGCTTTTGGTAGTTGAACGGGATAGTTATTTCCTGCTCAAGCGTTTCCAAACAAATGGAATGTTAGAATCTTACGTTCATTGAAGACTGTAATCTTAGTTCCATCTACAGCAATCAGTCTTACTTTGAAGTGGAGCTATAGACGGATCTTACGTTGATGATTTCAACTAACGTCACTTAGTATCTCAGGCTTAACATCACTAAAATGTCTACAACATACTTCACAAGCGCTTTCCACAATCGATTACTACCACTTTGATTTTTTATTGTTCTACTCGGTCCTCAAATACATAAACGCTCTCTCTCTCTCTCTCTCTCTCTCTCTCTCTCTCTCTCTCTCTCTCTCTCTCTCTCTCTCTCTCTCTCTCTCTCTCTCTCTCTCTCTTGGCAGCATAATGCATTACCAACAACTACTTGGCATGTCAGAATCCCAACCACTAGACCATTGGGATAAAAGGGCTTGTTTCAGTAGCGGGTCAGTGCGCCCATAACCCCCCAAGCAAACGCGTCTGTAACCCCCCCAGGATCGATCGGGGATCTCACAGTGTAGCTCTACTGACACCCCCCCACACTGGGAGGCCCAGGACTGAGCACAGTGGCAACGGCCAACATGTGCATACACCGGGATTCGAACCCGAGACCGCTCTGATACCATGTCAGAATCCCAACCACTAGACCATTGGGATAAAAGGGCTTGTTTCAGTAGCGGGTCAGTGCGCCCATAACCCCCCAGGCAAACGCGTCTGTAACCCCCCCAGGATCGATCGGGGATCTCACAGTGTAGCTCTACTGACATGGCAGTCTACAATTCGCCGCCATCACATGTCACCCAGACTTGGCTTATTCGAGCCAGCTTGCTCAATACCCTAAGTGCTCGTGTTGGTTACTCACACACTCTTCTCTCTTCTAGCACCACCATCTTGGACACCCCTCTTTGCAACATCTCTGTCACATGCACTCATGTCGCCTTGTTTCTGGCCTCCCGAGGTCCCTGTCCCCGCTCTCGTCGTCGCTTGCACCGCCGTGCACTCCCTGCCTCGAGGGGCGGCAACACGCCACTCCTCGCTCCTCCTCGTTCCCTCCGACCACTACTCCTCTGAAGGCCCTGCACATGGAACTGTTGTGGCCCCGCCCGCGTCCTTACTCTGGGCCAGGAGTGATACTTCCTATAGGAGGTGTGGAAGGCGGAGCATGGACCGGCGTTGGGGCGAACGCCGGTCAACCAGCCGACAGACACCTCGACGGCGACACTCCCGTTGCTCGTCGAGGTCGGTGAGCTTGCTGATCAGGACACCGAGGACGTCCGCCCTCCTTCCCTCTCCCCTCCTCCCCCTACCCCGCACATTTTCACCAACCCTGCATATGCCGACACCGGCGTCGGCCTCCGGCGACGAGGGGAGCAGTGGGGCGTCGCCTGTGGCGCCGACCAAGAGCATCGCCGGCAGCCGACGTGGCGTCCAGCAAGTCGGCGTAGGAACGAAGTCGGCACCGATAGGGGAGCAGCAAGTAGAGGAGGTGTAGCCGACTTTGATGGAGCTGGCGAAGGAGGAGCCAGCAGCGAATTCGTCCGAGGAGCTGTCGACGACCGGGTTGTCGGCAATGGAGCCAATGACAGGGGAGAAGTCGGCGGGGACGCCGACTGTGGTGTAGCAGAGCGTCAAGGTCAGCGGGGCCAGTGATGATGAGGGGAGCAGCCGGGCACCGAGGAGTCCATCGACAACGATGTGGTGGAGGTGCAGGTCAGGAAACAGGTACGGCAGCATGAGGCGGCTAAGGGCAGCAGTGGCAGGGGAAGAGTAGCGTGCAACTACAGCATCATACAAGGTCTTAGCACTCTTGTACTGACTAAAGTGCGCGCGCTCAGTGGACGGCAAGTAACTACGCACAGCAAGATGGGCAGCACCATCGCGTGTGGCCCACTGGGAGCGAACAGTGCTGTCAGCATCGGCAGCAGGGGCAGTAGAGGCGCCAGACCTGAGATCGAACAGTGAGAGACCGTCCTTCCTATCGCACTGTAGTAAAAGTTGTAGATCATCGACCCAGACCTCAAAGTCAACAGCCCGACCCTCAGCATCAAAGACTAGAACACTAGGGGTAGCCATGACAGCAGTTGCAGTAGACTATACTCTTCTCAGCTGCCAGGAGGCGCTCCTCGAGGAGGTCAACGGTGAGAGTGGTGGGGAAAACAGAGAGGAAGTGGTCCCTGACCGAGCGAAGGGAGTCAGGGAGCCGGGTGACTATGTAGTAGAGGGTGATGTACATGGGGGGGGGGGTTCTTGGCGCAGAACTCAGCAGGAAGCGCAGCGGGTGTCACTAGTGCGAAGGTGCGTAACGAGGTCAGCAACAGTGGGAAAGGCGGCGAGGTCAGGAAACAGGTACGGCAGAATGAGGCGGCTAAGGGCAGCAGTGGCAGGGGAAGAGTAGCGTGCAACTACAGCATCATACAAGGTCTTAGCACTCTTGTACTGACTAAAGTGCACGCGCTCAGTGGACGGCAAGTAACTACGCACCGCAAGATGGGCAGCAGCATCGCGTGTGGCCCAATGGGAGCGAACAGTGCTGTCAGCATCGGCAGCAGGGGCGGTAGAGGCGCCAGACGTGAGATCAAACAGTGAGAGACCGTCCTTCCTACTGAGAAGAATTGAACGAGGATGGAATGACTATGAACGAAGTGAGTACAAATAGGAAACCTAATTGGGTTGTACCCCCTATGGGATACCCCACTATAGCCTACACAAATGAGTAAGCTATAATGTTCTGACACAACCCCATAGGCAAAGTGGGGGAGAACAAGGGGTCACAAGACCAGTCAAGCAAAGCAAAGCAACGCTCAGGGTGGATCACAAAGTCACCACACATTCCGAGCACAAGTTCAAAGGCCAGAAGGCCAGTTCACATGCAAGATCATATATAGAGATATACAAGAGACAAGCAAGCAAGAGCAAGAGTATATATAGGTGAAGGTACAAGCAAGGTCAAGAAGTGAGCAAGTGAGGCAAGACAGGCACAAGACCCAACTGCGTGCAACAACGCTCATGATCACAAGGCGCAAGTGCCTTGGTGAAGACATCAGCAGTGTTGGCCTCAGAGGCCACGTACGCAAGTCGCAACTGTCCACGCTGCTGTAGCTCACGAGCAAGAAAGTAGCGGAGAGCAATGTGCTTCGTCCTGTGCTCCAGACGCTGCTCTCGACACAGGGCCAGCATGGCCTTGTTGTCTACGTACAGGACTGGAGGAGAACGAGGCTGCTCTCCAAGGTCGATCAGCAGGTAGGTGAGCCAGCGTAACTCCTGTGCAGCCATAGCCCCAGCGTAGATCTCAGCCTTACAACTGGAGCCGAGAACAGAAGATGAGCGGGTAGCCCGCCACGAAACAGAGCCGGAACCGAGGCTGAAGGTGTAACCTTGTGACGACCGCTGCGTAGCCTGGTCGTCAGCCCAAGAAGCGTCTTCGTGCCCAGTGAGGACCACTGGACTGCGCCCTCCAAGCACTAGCCCCATGCCCGACGTACTACACAAGTAGCGCAACACCCTCTTCGCTGCAGCCATGTGCTCTGGTCGGTGTCTCCCAGGAGCAACATAGCGTGCGAGAATGCTAAGAGGGTATGCAAGGTCAGGTCGTGTGCTGGTCATCAGGTACATGAGGCAGCCAACAAGCTCTGCAAACGGCCCACTCAACTCTACGGACTCATCCGAAGGCAGAGCTGAGAGCGAGTGGCGAGTAGGCAGAGGAGTGGCCTGAGGCGAGGAGTACGTGAAGCCGAAGCGCTGAAGGACCTGCTGCATCATGTGTGACTTAGTCAGGGTAATGGTGCGGCGTGCTCTGTCCGGGGTGATCTGCAAGCCAAGGTAGCTGCGCAGTTCACCCAGGTCAGTGCACGTGTGTCTCTTCTGCAGCTCGGACTTCACGTAGGCGGGTCCAGCAGTGTCAGCTGTGGCAAAGACCAAGTCATCGACGTACACGAGGATGTAGAACGGCGGCAGAGAGGTGTCGGTGCGCAGAATCAGCGACGGGTCGGTAGTAGAAGGAGCAAACCCAAGTGCCGCGAGCGTAGTCCTCAGTGTGTCGTGCCACTCACGTGGCGCCTGGCGGAGACCGTAGACTGGACGCCGGAGACTCCACTGGGTACCAGGAGGGAAAGACCCAGTGAAGCCAGGCGGGCGACGCAGCCAGATCTCCTCGTGCAGGCTGCCCTGCAAGAAAGCTGTGCTGAAGTCGAGAGAGTGCAGCTCGTAGTCACGGTGAGCAGCAACGTGCAGCAGAACCCGAAGAGTGGTCATCTTCGGGGTGGGGGAGAAGGTCTGAAAGTAGTCAACCCCCTGCCGCTGACTGAAGCCACGAGCCACGTAACGCGCCTTGAAGACAGGCGGAGAACCTGGCAGCCGCTTCACCCTGAAAATCCACATGCCACTGACAATGTTCGCCCCAGGAGGGGGAACAGCGTCGACGTAGGTGCCTGTGGACTTCCAGGAAGCCATCTCTGCATCCATAGCTGCCTGCCACTGAGAGGAGTAGGGACCCTCTATCGCCTCCGCGTATGAGCGCGGAGTCGGGATGTTAGGTGCATCCGGGTCTCCCTCAGGGGCTAGTAGTACAGACGCGAGATGTGGTGAAGCGGCAGCCAGACACTGAAACTCCTCCTGTCTGTCCTCAAGGACGTCCGTGCCGAGGGCACACTCACCCCCGACGGACGGAGGACAGGCAGACTCAGACTTAGCGACAAGACTGGCAGCGTAGTCCAGACGACAGCGCGCAGCAAAGTCGACAAGCTCAGTGACAAGGGCAGACGCAGCAGACGACTCGAAGGAAGGGTCAGTGACAGCAGTAGCAAGGAGACGCGTGACAGTAGGACTGGCAGCACGAAGAGAGTCCGACTCCGGGTCCGCAAGAGCAGGAAGAGAGGAAGCGGGAGGAGAAGGCAAAGGGGCACGCAGAGGAGCAGTGGACGGACGCAGTGACATCCGGTGCGTACCAGGGACAGGAGGAGGACGCTGACGCGACCCGCGACCACTAGCACGCATAGTACGAACAGGCGACGCAGGACGAGACGCAGGCTCACGACGCTCAGTAAGACCTCCAGTCGGACCAGCGTAGGGAGAAGGAGCAGGCAAAGGGTAGGCAGGCTGTAGCTGTGGCTGTGACTGGACAGGCTGTGGACCCTCTAAGGGAGGAGGAGGAGTAAGACCAAGAACCTGCTGCAGGAGCGGAACGAAGTACGGTCGGGGCCGCGCGGCAACGCCAGAAACAGCAGGAACAGCACCAGTACCCCCAGCAGGAGCACCCACTCCAGCAGCACCTCCAGCAGCACCTCCAGTAGCTCCAGAACCTCCAGCAGCAGCAGCAGGAGCACTGTCAGTCGGACCGCCAGCGGCAGTCTCAGCGCCAGCACCCTCAGCAGCACTAGCTCCAGAAGAACCCTCAGACCCAGCAGCTCCAGCACCCACAGTACGAGCACCGCCGGGACGCGCGGCAGCAGTACCCTCTGCAGCCGAAGAACCACCAGCACCAGCAGCACGCCTCCAGCGGCTGGCAAACCACTCACGCAGCTCCTGTGGGGAGAGTGGCTCCCGGCGAGACGAAGCACCTCCAGGCAGAGCACCCCCAGGCACAGCACCCCCAGGCACAGCACCCCCAGGCTCAGCACCCCCAGGCTGAGCACCCCCAGGCTCAGCACCCCCAGGCGCAGCACCCCCAGACTCCGCACCCCCAGGCTCAGCTCCCGCAGCAGCACCAGAGTCACCAGTGACCTCGACAGGCTCGACCGCGTCTACCTGGGACACACCTGAAGGGGCAGGACCCTGAGGGGGGAGGGGGTCTACCGGGGGGGGACCTGGTACCAAGAAGAGCGGGGGTGGGGGGAGGGACGGAGTGCGGTAGGGGAAGAGGCAGTAGTAGGGTACCGACTCGTCGAACGTGACGTCCTGGGAGGACAGAACACGTCGAGAGGTGGGGTGGTAGAACTGCCACCCAGGGGCGTCGGGGGGAAACCCCAGGAAGACGCAGGGAGCAGCGCGAGGGGACAGCTTGTCCGCAGACAAGTCGCGGACAAACGCCCGAGATCCCCAGACCCAGAACGCCGACGCATCGCCAACCTTCCCCGTCCACAGCAGGGCTGGGGAGGTCTCCGGCCTGGAGACCCTGGGGTGGAGGTTGATCTGATGCGCTGCGTACCTGACCGCAAACGGCCATAGAAAATGGGGGGCAGCCGCATGCATCATGGACGTACGGGCGACGTCCATGACCATGCCAATGCGGCGCTCAGCAATCCCATTTTGCTGCGGGGAGTCCGGAAGCGTGAAGGACTGGCGGATGCCTCGCGCCCGACAGTAGGCATTTAGAAGGCCAGAGGAGAACTCTCCGCCTCTGTCTGAGTGCAGACGCAACACAGGAAAGTCCGAGCCAAAGCTCTGCCTGAGCTGAAGACGAGCTGCGCGGATCCAGTCGATCAGCACCTCACTAACCTCACCCTTGCTGCGCAAGGGGAAGACTGTGGTGTAACGCGAGTAGTCGTCAACAACAAGCAGGAAGTAGCGCTCCTGACCCTGTCCACGGACGCGGGCTGGGCCCCACACGTCCATGTGAAGCGTCTGCAACGGGGCCTCTGTCGGAGGAAACTGGGAGAAGTGAGGGGCAGCACGCTGGCGCCCCTCGACACAGGGGACACAGGCAGGGCCAGGGCCCTGAGGAAGGGGAGGTAGATACCGGGGGAGACCAGACACAAGAAGACGGGAGGCCATGCCTCTGAGCCGAAGCAGAGAGGGGTGGCCAAGGCGGTGGTGCCAGAGGAGGGTCTCGTGAGACAGACGACGACACGAACAGGGGGCAGACTCAGGACCAGACCGGGACGCTGCGGCAAACACCTGACCAGACGAAGGGACCCTACCAGACTCAGCACCTGGAGGAGAAGTTGTGGTCAGTGTGTACAGGCTCGACCCTGGCCGACGTGTAAACGTAGCCAGGTGGCGTCCCGTGCTAGCCTCCGTGCAGTGGGTCACCCGCTGACGAGCAGGAGTGAACTGGTGGACACCCGCATCCTGTAGGTCAGCACCACTCACCAGGTTCGTCGAGAACGAGGGGAGGTAGAGACCAGACAGGGTGCCAG